CCTCGGATGTGATGTGAGACGTGGGTGGGTCACTTACCTTCGTCATAGACTCCTGCCCCGTTCATGGTGTTGTCAGAGAGCTTGCTGTGTTGTAGGGCCCAGACACTTCAAAATTTACTGAGTTGTGACCTGGGGCCCAGCAGATGGGGGTTTCTACAAGTTCGCTGTGTGTTTAAGGAGTAATTCTCCTTGATTTCTGGGTCAGAATCCTGTGACGTCTGCCGGCCGGTGCCCATGGTTCTGCTCTCATCTGTCTGCACGGCTGCTCTCACTTCTTGTGTCCACTCTGCTCGGGCCTGGACCCCACGTGGCTGCTGACACTGCTCTTGGGAGGGCAGCATGACCTCTGTTTTGCCCAACCCAGGGGGTGGCCCCCAGCCCCATGACAGGACCTGTCAGAGACACCGGACGCAGCTGGAGCCCCAACCTCTCTGACTCCTGCTCCTGGCCTCGGCTGCTGAGGTCCCTGCCTTCCGGCTTGGCCTTCTCTTCTCTGCTCATTCCATCCTTGCTCATCGCCCCCATCCCACATGGATAAATGCCAACCCTGCGCAATGGTTCCAGATCCGAGTCCCCATCTCTGGCCTCTTACTGGGTCTCGCTGTGGGACCCCGCCCCAGCATCCCTTGGATGTCCAATTGGCAGCTCATCCCACCGTCCTAGGAAGGGAGCTCTTGAGTCCCCAGTCTCGGGAAGTGGCAATTCCATCCAAGCTGTGGGTCGGGAGGCCCCATGGGTGCAATTCTGCCTGCGTGCAAACCCGTCAGGTTGTCCCCCCCAGGATGTGCATCATCTGAGCCCTGCTTTCTGCCCGCTGCCTCCTGGTCAGACTTCTGCACTGGTGACCACCTGAACCTCTCTGGGGGCTTCCTATCCCCTCGGAGTGAAGCCCGGGGGCTCATGTCTGCCCCAGGACCCTTTCACCTGCTGCCCCTTCTGCCTGCAATGTGCCCCCCCAAGCCCTGTGCTGACCCTGCGGGTCAGTCCCCCTCTAGGAAGTGTCCTGGTCATCGGCCAAATAGTAGCTGGTGTTGATGTCCATGTCCAGCTTCCCTGTCTTTACGGGGCATTTACTTGTTTTTACCTGTGCAGTTCGTCCCTCATCAGGACAGTGGTGCCACAGCGTGGACACCTGTCTGTGCATCCACCTAACAGCTGCGTGGCACACGGTGGGCTGGCAAGGAGCAGCAGCCCCCTGAGCGGGGGGTCAGCAGTTGGAAGCTGCTTTTCTTTGATTATTTGCAACTTCTAGCAATTTCATGTGTTTTCTTGGTTATTTGTGCTTACAACCCCCTGGGAACAATCTTCTGTCTCCCCTTGAAAACTTTTCCTTGAAGGTCAAGTTTTTCCCACTCTCTGTGTTGTCCCATCACTCATTTACTGGGACCCTGGGATGGTTAGCTTCATGGTTAACTTGACCAGGCCGTAGTGCTCAGATATTTGGCCAAACACAAGTCCAGGAGAGTGAAGGTATTTTAAAAATGTGATTAACATGCAAATCAGAAGAGGTCGAGGAAAGCAGATTGCCTCCATGTGAGGGTAGGCCTTGTAAAATTAGCTGAAAGTCTTGAGAGGAAAAAGGCTGAGGTCCCACGAGGAAGAGGGGGTTCTGCCTCCAGATGCCTTCTGACCTGACCTGCAACATCCACTCTGGGTCTCCAGGCTGAGGGCCTGTATTATGGGTTTTGGGCTCACCAAGACTTCATAGTTCATGGGATCCACTTCCTTAAAATAATCCCTTTTATATGTATATATAAATATAAATAAGATTTTAAAATAAGATTGACAGACTTACCTGTCATCACACACACACACACACATTATCTATCATCTATCAATCACTATCTATCAATCATTTATCAATCACCTATCAATCATCTACCTATCTATCAATCATCTATCTGGTCTATCATTGTTTATTCTCTGAAGAACTCTGACCAATACTCTTTTTGATGTCAGATGCTTCGGCCACTGTCTCCCATCCTTTTTCCTTTATTTATGGAGACTCTATCCTGATAGATATTTAATCTTTGCTCTGTAGGCAAATCTGCCAGTCTTATTTTTTAAAGTTCCTGGCTCTGCTGTCATTCTGAGAAAGCCCTTAATCACCTCGGGAGAAGGTAAATGCCTCCCCACCGTCCCTCTGGTCCCACTGTTGATTCCTATCAGTCAGTAATGCTGGTCCTGACTTTGCTTTTGTCCTGACCGTGGGAGCAAGGTCCTGTCTCTGCACTATGGAGTCTTCCAGAATGACCTCAGCAAACCTTGGGCCTGGCCGTGGGTAGGGCATGGACGTCGGGGTCTTGGCTGGGGAACAGAACTCTGGTTTCTGCCCAGGTGCCAGGAGGTCTGGTCCCCAAGCCCAGGGGGCAGGACTGGCTCAAACCTTCCCCTCAGACACCAAGAGAGTGGGGATCGGTCGGGCCCCATGCAGGTGGCCGGGCGGTGAATTCCACACTGAGGACCAGACTTGTCAAGCCTTGATTTAGGTGTGGGAGGGCAGCTGTGTCCTATTTATCACACAGCTGGGAACAGATGTCTCTGCCCAGGGTGGTTGGCGCCTGGGCCGGCGAGGCGGTGTTGGCGTGGGTGAGGTGCGGAGCATGCTGGGAAACGGCCCTCAGCCTGCACGTCACTGGGCTGTGTCAGGGCCTGTGGCTGCAGAGCTGGGGAAGGTCCTGAACGCACTCACTGTGCGGAGGGAAACAGCCCGGGCCAGCGCCCCACAGGGGCCGTCACGTGCCTCCGGCAGACAGATTTCTGTAGTTTGGCAGAGGTTAGTTTGTGCTTATTTAAGACAAAAGGGGAAGTCGTGGTAGAAGGCCGCCCACTGGATCCTTCCGTTGCAGAAATCGCCTTACCAGCCAGGAGGGGCTGGGGTCACATGAGTTTTAGGGAAACATATTTTAGGGCATCTAAGTATGTTTCCTGGACAGAAAGAAGCTCAAATACAGATCCCCTGGGCCCAACCAGGCACCCACCATGCTCAGGGGAGGACTCAGGTCAGGGGCTTGGTGCCCGGCCCCCTCCCATTCTCCCCAGGGCCTGCAGATGGGGCTCCACTGTGTCGATCCATGGGTGTGGGAAAAGCCAGGGGCTTCCTTGGGAACAGCTGTGGTCTCATGGGGGCTTCTCCAGGGAGGCTGGGCTGGAGCATGTGCCTTAGGTCTGAAGGCCCAAGTGCATGGCCTCCTTTGAGGCCAGCCAGACCCTTCATTCATTCCTTTACTCATTCCTTCCTTCCTTCCACTACTACGGATGCTCAGTGTGTGTGGGGGGCCTCGAGGCCAGGCTGGGAGGTGGGTGGAACCAGGGGGCGAGTGGGCCTGGACGGCTGCAAGGAGGGTGGTGCTGGGCAGGCCTGGGGCTCTGGGCCAGGGCAGGCAGGGTGGGTTAGGGGTGCAGGAGCCCCGACCTCGTTCCTGGTGTAAATGGAGCCATCGATGGGTTTGAGCTGAGGCTGCTGGGACAGTTAGGTCCTCAGGACATGGCCGAGGGCTGGGGCGGGGGGTGGGGGGAGAGCCTGGAGGCTGGCTGGACAACAGGGAGCTCTGGGCAGGGGTGACATGGTTTGCAGCATGTGGTGATGGTTTGGGGTGTCTTTTGGGGTCCACGTGGCAGGAGGTCATTTACAGAGGTGGCAGGGCGGGGGAGGCAGACTTTAGAAGGATTTGTAAATCGGTGACGTGTGCAGGTGGAAATGCTGGGAGGCGAAGATGCTCTTGTGCAGCAGGTGGGCACTCATTCACTCAGCAACTGCTTGCTGAGCACCTACTATGCGCTGGGCTCTGCTCTGTGTGTTGGGGGTCATCAGGGAGCAACAGGAAACACTGTGCCCTCGACATTAACTTTCTTGGCGAGGGGAAAGAAATAACCAACAGGTATGATGAGAAAGGGAGCCACGGAATGTGCCGGAAGGGGCAGAGAGGAAAACTCAGCCGGCGACGGGCAGAGGGCAGGGGGCGTAGAAAGAGCTCCGTGTGGGGGCTGTCCCGAGTCCCATCATTTAGGGCTGTCTTCTAATGGCGTGTGTGAGCCTGTGTGGGTGCGGGGCACGTGTCTCTGCTCACACGTGAGCACGCACGGTCTGCAGACCCGCACATGTCTATGCACGTGTTTGTACGCGTGTGTGTGCGCTCAGGGTCTCCAGGGTATGGTGCACACGTGCATGGCTTACGTCTGTGCACGTGTGCTTACGTGTGAGCTGTGTTTGTGCACACACATGTACCCACGTGCGCCCGCATGCGTGTGCCCGCCAGTGTGGGGAGCACCTCCCGTTCCCTTCAGGGCAGAGAGGCCCCACAAGTTCTTCCCACGGGGGCGTCTCCCCACTGCGAGCCCTGCCACAGCCGCACCCCAGTCCTGGGCGTGGATCCTGGATGCCTGCCTGCAGCCCCCTGGGTCCTCTGACGGAGGCAGATCCAGATGACTGAGATGGGTGGAATGAGCAAGGCTGTTTATGGGGCCGGCTGGCAGGCGAGAAGGCAAGGGGCGGCAGTGAGGACTGCTGGCTCGGGGAACTGCAGGGTGTGACGCCCCCCTCTCTGGGTGTGGTGGCTGAGCTCTGGACAGAGGTGGGCTGGGGGGGGCAGAGATGGGGCTGGAGTCCAGGGTGATCCCCTCTGCCCTCGGCGACAGCATGAGGCTGAGCCTCCTTTCTCTGCAGGTGCTGGGCGTCTACTGTCCTGGGGTCACTTCACCTGCAGTAAGAGCCCAGGGGTCAGGAAGGGGGCGGGTGTGAGGGGCAGGGTCCCCAGAGAACAGGGCCCAGGCCCCTGAGTCCTGCCCAGCCAAGTCAGATGTGAGCAGGCGGCCAGCCTCTGTCCCGCCGTAGGAATGTGGAGGTGGAGGGAGGGGGCCCCTGAGGTCTCGGGGCTGAGAGGCCCCAGGCCGCGTCCGTGGCCCATGATGGCCGTATATTCCTCCGGCTCCCTGCAGGCTCCCTGGGCCAACTGCAGCGTGTCCCTCAGCCCTGCACACAGGGGCGCCAGCTGCCTTACCTTGATGAAGGTGACAAAGCCGCTGTAGAGCAGAGTGAGGAGGAAGAGGGCTGCGAACGTGGGCCACAGTCTGCTGGCATCCTCCAGGTCCGTGGAGTCCCCGCCGCTCTCATCGTGGCTCTGGGGGGGTGGGAGGGTCATGGCAAGACCTGGGGAGCAAGGGCACTGGTGAGGAGGTCCCGCTCCGCATGCGGCGGGATGCCGAGGGGCGGGCGACTGCTCTGGGGCACCCCTGTCCTGATGTAGCCCCACCTGGTGCGCACCTGTGAACCTTCTCCGCCCCCCCGCCCCCCAGCACTGGGGGCTCTGCCGAGCCAGACGGGCCCAGCACCAGGCCATGCAACCAAACAGCCGGGCACATAAGCCAACAGGTCCGCATAACAAGTGTGCACAGAAGGTGGGTGTCACTCAGCAGGTGTAGACACATGGGGACCCAGCCAGGCCACTGTGAACGTCCCCCTCCGGAGCCACGAGGGGGGACCAGACGGTCCGACCAGAACGGCACTCTACGCGGAAGAAGCACCGTGCTCTCGCACATAGCCTGATTCCAGGAGGGCGGAGGGGCCCAGGGTGCCTGGAGCGGGGAGCTTGGGCAGGGGCGGCCAGGGAGCCAGGGCTGGGCCAGGTGCTTCTGAGCAGCAGGGATTCCCCCAGGGCCTGGAAGCAAGGGCCAGGCACGGCCAGCTCTGCCTGTCAAAGCAGCCACTCCGTGGGGGACGTGATGGGGCGTCTGGCAAGCACACTCCCTCCCCGGTAGGAAGTCCTGACAGGAACCATCACAAGGCACCGACGCTCCTGGCTGGTCACGGCCTTCCCGGGGCTCCACTCTGTGCTTGACCAGGGCTGCTGACAGTGGGTCTGGGGTGCTGTGGGCCCAGGGAGCAGGCGGGGACATCGCGTGGGCCTTGCAAACGTATAGCTGTCTGAATCTAGTAAGTACATCCCGTCACGTTCTGCAAAGGTCCCGGTCCATGGTGGACAGGAGACGGTCCTTGCTCCAGACAGTTTGGGAAAGCCTGTGTCAGACAGGTGGAGGGTAGTGGTGGACAGCTGGGGGCTCGGCTGGACGTGACAAGGGTCACCGGTGCACAGAGCGCTGTCCAGGGAAAGGCCGGGGTTCTGGGCCCCGGCGAGGGCAGTGGACCAAGCCCTGCAGCGGGAAGGGCGAGGACAGGAGGGGTGGGTGTGACAAGCCTCCTTTGCAGCCTCCTCTCCGGCATGGCAGCCAGAGCAGTGGGCCATCTGCGGGGCACAGTCTGGAGAAGCCCGAGACGGGGACTGCACGTGAACGGACCTGCTTTTAATCACAGCATCTGGATCTCTGGTGGGTCTGTTTGCGACTTTTCATCCAGATCATGGGGAAGCTTTTCTGGTTCTTTTCACACCTTTTAATTTTTGCGTGCACGCTGGGCATTGCGAACAGACAAGCAGCAGAGGGTAAAGTGGGGTGTAACATGCACTTTCCATGGGCAGGGGTAGGGACCTGTCCAATCAGGACTCAGTTGGCTGGGATGGCAGGACCGTTGGCTTCAACTCCAGTGTTTGGGGTCAGGACTCTCCTTCCACGGGGGTGTCAGGGTCTAGCACCATGCAGGACGGGGGATCTGACCCAGCTCGGTTCCCCACTGTGGACACTGAACAAAGAAAGGTCCTGTGCGGGGCAGTCAGTGACAGAGAGAATGCATTTGGGTTCATCCCTACGCTCATTCCTCATGTCAGCCCATGCAGACATTAAAGTCTTGACTGATTCCCTCATGTCCCTCACCTCCCTGGATGCCCATGCCTCTGTCCCCCGTGCCCAGGGTGGGGCTCGCGTCTCTCTGTCCCCCGTGCCCAGGGTGAGGCTCGCGTCCCTCTGTCCCCCGTGCCCAGGGTGGGGCTCGCGTCCCTCTGTCCCCCGTGCCCAGGGTGGGGCTCGCGTCCCTCTGTCCCCCGTGCCCAGGGTGGGGCTCGCGTCCCTCTGTCCCCCGTGCCCAGGGTGGGGCTCGCGTCCCTCTGTCCCCCGTGCCCAGGGTGGGGCTCGCGTCCCTCTGTCCCCCGTGCCCAGGGTGGGGCTCGCGTCCCTCTGTCCCCCGTGCCCAGGGTGGGGCTCGCGTCCCTCTGTCCTCCGTGCCCAGGGTGGGGCTCGTGTTCCTCTGTCCCCCGTGCCCAGGGTGGGGCTCGCGTCTCTCTGTCCCCCGTGCCCAGGGTGAGGCTCCGGTCCCCCTGTCCCCCGTGCCCAGGGTGGGGCTCACGTCCCCCTCTCCCCCGTGCCCAGGGTGGGGCTCGCGTCCCTCTGTCCCCCGTACCCAGGGTGGAGCTCGCGTCTCTCTGTCCCCCGTGCCCAGGGTGAGGCTCCGGTCCCTCTGTCCCCCGTGCCCAGGGTGGGGCTCGCGTCCTTCTATCCCCCGTGCCCAGGGTGGGGCTCGCGTCCCTCTGTCCCCCGTGCCCAGGATGGGGCTCGCGTCCCTCTGTCCCCCGTGCCCAGGGTGGAGCTCACGTCCCCCTCTCCCCCGTGCCCAGGGTGGGGCTCGCGTCCCTCTGTCCCCCGTGCCCAGGGTGGGGCTCGCGTCCCTCTGTCCCCCATGCCCAGGGTGGGGCTCACGTCCCCCTCTCCCCCGTGCCCAGGGTGGGGCTCGCGTCCCTCTGTCCCCCGTGCCCAGGGTGAGGCTCGCGTCCCTCTGTCCCCCGTGCCCAGGGTGGGGCTCGCGTCCCTCTGTCCCCCGTGCCCAGGGTGTGGCTCGCATCCCTCTGTCCCCCGTGCCCAGGGTGGGGCTCGCGTCCCTCTGTCCCCCTGTGCCCAGGGTGAGGTAAGGTGGCCGACAATGTTCTCTTTGTAGGAGCCAGGTCACCAGCTGGACCTCTGTGAGTCCCTAGCTCTTTAGTGGCTTTAAATAAGCATGGTTTATAGAATGTATGTGGTGGTGTCTATTTGTTCCTGTGGGCCTGACAGTCCTTCCTCATCTCCTACATCCTAACTGAAGGCTCAGAAATCCCTTTGTTGTGGAGCAAGGCTGGGCTGAGGGGGACGGCTTGCCGCAAGAGACCAGCAGGGAGGGCACTGTTTTTAGCGGGGGAGGGCCCAGGGTGGGGCTGAGAGAAGCAGAAGGGCTGGAGGTCCGGGCGCTGGAGAGCCCCCTGACTTCTGTTTGTGGGACCTGGGCCCATGCAGCCCTCCTGCAAGACGGGAAGCAGGACCAGGTCGGGGGGTGTTATTTTACGGTGATCCTGCGGAGCACAAGTGTCCCCCAGTCATCGTGGCTGCCCGTGAGCCAGGCCTGTGCTGAGCATACTGCTGTTGGGGAACAAGGGGCTGTGCTGGGCGGAGACAGAGGACAGGCCTGTGGATGCAGGATGCGGGGAGCCTGGGGGTCCTGTGAGGAGAGTGAGCAGGACCCCCAGAAGCAAAGCCTCAGCTGCAGTGGAAGGAAGGAGGGTGCTCAGCTGCAGGGGGGACGCGGCTGAGACCCTGCTGAGCCGTGGAGGACGGGCTCATTCCAAGGGGCTGCGGTGGCCTAAACCGGGGGAGTGGTTCCAGCCGCCCCCACCTGGCTGGAAGAGGGGTCTAGGAGATATGGGCAGGGCCCCAGCTGCCTCCCTGAGCAGCCCTTGGTGGGCTGCTGAGGGCTTTCTCCCTACTCGCTCCCGGGGGCCCTGGGGGCACGCCAGGCCCCTGGCGTCCTCTGCAGCGCATCCTGTCTCCAGAGTGTGTGACCCTGGCAGGTGGATGTACTTCTGCCCCTGCAGGAAGATGTGGCATGTTTGGGCTCTGGAGGCTCTGAGTCCACGCTTGGGGACGGGACTCACGGCTGCAGGTGTAGGGAGAGGGCTGGGCACTGGGGAGGCTTGGCCGTCCCCGCTCGCTCGCACGCCTCCATGCACTCCTGCCCTGCTCCATACGTGCTCGCAGGGGCAGGTGCTGGGCGAGGCTTGGCTGAGCAGCCCGGCAACCGCAGGCATGGATGCCACGGTCCGGTGGGGGGAGCGCTGGGGCCAGGCCCCCTCATCTGAGCTGAGCCCTGCCTGCTGGGCTGTCCTGCCTCTCCACTGCGGGACTCTGTGTGCTCTGGTGACCCAGAGTCTGCAGCTGGGGCTCGTGCATGACGCAGGTCAGTCTCCAGCCTTGACTGAGTCTGTCCAGGGCGCTCGTCTACCCTCACCTGTGACCTCAGACCTTGGAGAGGCCGGGTCTGTGCCTGGGGGCAGCTGGCGGTATCACGGTGGAACCCGGAGGAGTGTCAGCATGGACTTGGCCCTCAGGGAGCCCAGAGGAGGGAGGATAAGCAGGGCCGGGAGGCTGCTCTGGGGGCCAGAGAACACATACCCTGGGGGCATGAGCCATGACAGGTGGCCCAGCGCAGGGGGCACCCAGCGGGAAAGGGGGCAAGGCCGAGAAGACAGGCTGAGGAAAAAGGGTCCCCGCATAAGTAGGCAGACAGGGCCTGGCACCGGGACTTTGGGGGAGGCCTGAGGGGGCAGAGGCAAGCGGGCCGGGGGGCTGAGGAGCCGCCACCTCTCTGGGGCCCCCATGGGCTGCTGCCCAGCAGGCTGCCAGCACAGCCAAGCCTGGCTATAGGACAGAGTAGGGCCAGCGCTCTCATCGGTGGGGGGATGCCCAAGGCAGGGTCTGGGCTGTTGGCGGGGTGTCCCAGCTATGGAGCCTGGCACAGCCTTCCTGCATGCCCCCCACATTGCTGCCGTGGGCCTCCACTGGGCACCTTCCCCCTCCCAGCACCCGGCGCCCAGACCGCCTGCTGCCCCTCCATGAGCAGGAGGAGGATGGCATCCTGCTGCCTGCTTGGCCTAAGGTGTCCAGCACAGTCCTGCCAGCGCCTTGCCGGACCAGGAGGGGGCTCTTGTCAGGGTGCTGCCCCGTGACGGGGTGGCAAGGGGGTCTGACGAGGGCCTCAGAGGGGACAGTAAGCCCTAAACTTCCACCATGAGCCCCACCCTGGCGGGCCTCCGTGCCCTCTGCCCCGCAGGCGGCCTGCAGTCGGGGCCCGTTGTGGGCCTGTGCTGGTCAGATGTCCACGGGCACCGAGACCAGCTCCCACTTCTGGGCGTATCTGGCTCCTGAGGTGCCGGCTGTTCTCCCAGACCACTGGGGGGCCTGGGGCTTGGGGAGGCTCAGATGCCCCTGGAAGGCGGTGTCTGGGATGACCACCCTCCCCAGGGGCGGCCCCTGTTCTGCGCCCAGCGGTGCGGCGTATCTTGGTGGGGTAACGGCTGTTCTTTGGGGCCTGGCGGGGGTGACAGCCGCCTCCCACCCGTCCTAGTCCAGCACGTGGTGTGTAGACATGAGGACAGACTTTGGGGCGACAGGTGTCGGGGCATCCAAAGCCCACCCCAGACGCCGAGCAGAGCCGAGCAGGCCCGGGTGGGGAGGTCCGGGTGGGCGTGCAGCCCTTGGCCACAGCCCCAGGACCCAGCCGCTCAGCTCCTGGGGGGGCTGCCCCTCCGCCCCTGCCCCGCGCTGGGAGGAGGCTGGGACGGGAGCCCTCAGGCCCGTGAATGACTCACCAGTGTCCAGGCTCCAGCTGGAGTTGAGCAGCTTCCGGGAGGCGTCGTGCCTGACCACGCACGTGTAGGAGGCCGGGCCAGGGTCCTGGGCGGCGAGGACACGCAGGACGCTCCAGGTCTGGAACGTGCTGCTCCCAGGCTGGGCCGTGGGGCGTGCAGTGGCAAACCCAGCAGGGTCCACCTCCGTCTGGCCCTGGAGCCAGGTGAGGAGGATGTCCGGGGGCGAGAAGCCAGACACCTCACACAGGAGCCAGGAGGCCACCTGGGGCACGGTCAGGGCGCGGACGGCGAGGCAGCAGGGCGCCGTGGCAGCTACGGGGAGAAGCCCGGTCACGCTGGGGCCACCTGAGGCTGGGCGAAGCTGGGCGGCCCGGGGGGCGGGTCCCCACCCCCTTGGTGTCTCCTTGTGGGAGGAGGGCTGGGCTGGGCAGGGGGTACGTGTGCAGGGCCCCCAGCCACCCCGTGTCCTGGGCCCGGGAGTGGGCCTCACCGTGCCCTCCTGGTGCTGTGGGCGCCACCTGGGAAGGCGTGCTGGGCTGGCTCAGCGTGCAGGAGAGGCTGGGAGGGTGGGTGTGGTTCCCGCAGCCTGCCAGAGGACCGCGACCTCGGTCAGCAGGCAGAGGTCAGCGGGGGCCCTCGGGCAGCTGGGGATCAGCCTGGGGGTGGTGCTGTGGGCAGAGCCCCCTTTGCTGCTTCCTGGCCTCCTGCTGCCGGGCTGGGGGCTTGCAGGGCAGGACTTCCCCAGGTTCCCCAGTCCCTCCTCCTCCCACTCTGTGCCCCAAGGAACTGGCCTCTGAGCATGGTGTCCACTGGGCTTCCTGGCTCCGTGACTTGCGTCAGGGTGTGGCTGGTGGAGGGCACTGCGGGGAGAAGAGGGGGTGAGACCGGCAGGACTTCTCGTCAGGGCCGTGGCCTCCCTGGGCCCCTCAGCCTTCCTGCTCTCTGGGGTCCGGACCTACCCGCACCCGCTGCTGGCCCCTCGCCAGGGCTCCTGCGGGGTCATCATGCCACAGTACCCTCTACGGTTAGGGTGAGGGCAGCCAGGACGTTATCGGGCCTTAGGTTTGGGACAGACTAGGCGCCCGCAAGTTTGTTCTGTAAAGGGCCAGATAGTAAATATCTAGGCTTTGCAGTTACATGGGGCTCCTGGGTCTCCGTTCCACACCCCCCCCCCCCACCCCGCATCCAGCTAAAACAGCATTCCCAGCTTGTAGGAAACAGCTCTGGGCTGTGGCCCGTGCGGCCCTCTGGGGTGGAGAGAGCTGGCCTGTTCGGAGGGCTG